CCCCAAAACCCCAAAACCCCAAAACCCCTTAAAGAGAAATTTGTTAAGAGGTGGGATAAAGGTAAAATCTTAATAATTGAAAATCTACGTAATACTAGAATATGGATAAGATACAATAATTGGCTGAAAGTAGAATCAGTCCCTTCGAATCTCACATTAAGGTTATTTAAGACGATCCTTACCTTAAACCTTATGAGGATGATATAGTATTGAGATTAGCAAAATACAAAGAGTAAGAAAGCCTTTTTTATCTAAAAATTGAAACTTTAGGCAATTAGAATAGTTTGACAGAAATGAGGGTGGATTACTTAATATCGCGAGATCATATAACAGATTCGGCTTGCAACTCTAGGAAAATGGAGACATCATCTATACCGAGTGGGCTCCTGCTGCTCAAAAGCTCTCACTTGTAATCAACTTTAAATTATGACAATCTTTAGTTTGGAGACTTTAATAATTGGGATAGAGAAGCCAACTAAGCAATAAAGAATGAATTTGGCGTGTGGACATTAACATTAAAGGCGAAAGAAAATGGAACTCCAGCAATAGCTCATAATGAAAGATACAAATGCTGTATTACTAAAGAAGATGAAACTACAGTATGGAATAAACTATTTTCCCAATAAAATTTCTACATAGATTGATAAGAATCCTGCTTGGGCAAGATACTTGGTACAGAATCCTTAGACTTTGCTCTTTGATTGCGTATTTTGGAACCCAGCTGAGAAATACTAATTTAAGAATGAAAGGCCGCCAAGACCAGCGAGTGTTAAAATCTATGAATCTCATGTTGGAATGGTAAATTAGTAATAATCATTTTAATCCATAGAGTTCTATTGAGGAGAGGGTTGCCACTTATAGAGAATATGCTGAAAAGATTTTACCTAGAATAAAAAATGGAGGATATAATGTTATTCAATTAATGGCGATTTAAGAGCATTCATATTATGGTTCATTTGGATATCATGTCACAAATTTCTTTGCAATTTCCTCAAGATCAGGAACTCCTGAAGATCTTAAGTATCTAATAGACACAGCTCACGGAATGGGATTAATGGTTATCATGGATTGCGTACACTCTCATGCATCGACAAATACAAATGATGGTATTAATCTATTCGATGGAACAGACCATTGCTATTCTCATGCTGGAGCTAAGGGTTATCACTCATAGTGGGATAGTATGATATTTGACTATTCAAAGTATGAAGTAAAGAGATTCCTCCTATCAAACTTAGCCTGGTTTATGGATGAATATAAATTTGACGGATTCAGAATGGATGCAGTGACAAGCATGCTTTACCATCATCATGGAATAAATTATGGATTCTCAGGAGACTACAGAGAATATTTTGGACTTTAAGTTGACATGGATGGAGTCGTTTAGCTAATGATGTCAAATGATTTAGTACACTCGATATATCCTGATGCTATAATGATTGCAGAAGATGTATCGGGAATGCCTACTCTCTGCAGAAAAATTTAAGAAGGTGGAATAGGTTTTGATTACAGATTAAACATGTATATTCCAGATATGTGGATAAAGCTATTGAAAGAATGTAAAGATGAGGATTGGAATATGGGTCACATTGCTCATGCTATGACTAACAGAAGAAGATTTGAACATTGCATTGGTTATGCTGAGTCTCATGATTAGGCTATTGTAGGAGATAAGACCATAGCAATGTGGTTATTTGATGCTGATATTTACCATGGAATGACTTAACTTCCAGGTCATCAATCATCTCTAAGAGTTGATAGGGGAATGTCACTTCACAAAATGATAAGATTATTGACTTTTAGTTTAGCTGGTGAAGCTTACCTAAACTTTATGGGCAACGAATTTGGGCATCCAGAGTGGATTGATTTCCCAAGGGAAGGCAACAACTTTAGCTATTTCTACTGCAGGTATAACCCTGATTACTTTAAATAGATTATAGGAGAAGATGGGATTTGGCTGATAATACTGAACTTAAATTCTACTACTTGAATGAATTCGATAGACAGATGAACTATTTGGATGATAAAATCAAGTGGAAAATATAGGATCACTAGTTTGTAAGTTTGAAGCACGAAGAAGACAAAATTATCGCTTTTGAAAAAGGAGATCTCCTGTTTATATTCAATTTCCATCCATCTAAAGTAATAATATTTCTTAAAAATTTAATATAGAGCTTTGAAGGCTATAGAATCGGAACTAAATGGAGATCTAATCACTTAATCCTCTTAGATACAGATGAGCTCCAGTATGGAGGCCATGACAGGCTACTGAAGGCACATCAAATGGCTTTCAAAACTTAAAATCATAAGTGGAACGATAGACCTTATTACTTGCAGCTGTATATCCCATCAAGAACTGGTATGGTTCTGATTAGTGAGGAAAATGCTGAGAAATACGATATCGTCATTCCAGACTACATTGAATAAGATCTTCCTGAAGAAGACATTATTGCTGACTCAGAACTGATTAACGCTGATGAGCAGAATATTGATTAGAATTTAGAGATAGCAGAATTAACCTAAGATGATGTAGCAGTGTTAATTGAAGCTGAATTCTAGAAGTTATAGGAAAGTAATTTGAGTGAGGATGAGAAAATTAACTAACTTATTGGGGATGTGGATTAACTAATGACCTAGCATTTCCAAGTCAGCTCTAGTGATGTGATAAAGCCTGGGCAATAACTATTATGACGATTAAATTTTGGATATATAAACAAAACACTTAATATAATTAATTTCCTAATACTTTAATGCTGATATATCTATTAAAACCTGTGGGGTTTTGGGGTTTTGGGGTTTTGGGG